TAGTGTTACATTACCTGCATGCATTAGATAACTTAAAACCATTAGACCTTGTGACTTTTTCTGAATTGATTTGTTATCTTATTTTGCATTCCTCTCTATCTGTAAATAATAAACTCCTAATTTATAAACAAATACTGAGGCCAGTATGGACCTATGGCTGCCAACTCTGGGGCTGTGCCAAACCTAGTAACATCAAAGTAATCCAGGTATTCCAGAATAAAGTGTTGAGGAACATCGTAGATGCGCCTTGGTACGTTAGGAACAACAATCTTCACCGGGACCTCAAGATGGAAGATGTCAATCAGATAATCAAGAAATTTGCAGGGAGCCATGAACAACGACTCCATCATCATGTAAACGTCGAGGCTATCCAGCTCCTCGATAATACGAACCTAGAGGGAAGGCTCAAAAGAACAAAGCCTTTTGAACTGATATAGTGAGTGAGTGAAAAGCAGAGCAAAGTGTTGTGCGAGTATACATGCTAAATTTAATGCTAGTTATTAGAAATAATAGGAAAGATACTAGTGAGTAGACACCTAATTTTAAGTTTTCATTAGTAATTTAAGTTAGAAACAAATTGATAATTGGTCTTACTGACCAGATTTTAATGTAAGTACACTTCAGTGTATTCAGTAAAAAAAAATTGTGAGTATAATGTTGTTTTTTTGTTATTGTACTATTCATATATTCTTTTTCCAAATCAGTTTATTGTATTAACTGCATTTATAGCACTGTAAATAAAACTTGTATAATGTAAATAAAATGATATATTTTTAGTAGCTATTGTTTTATTAAAATTAATGATTTTACAGAGGAAAGTGTGTTTATAAGCTAAGTAAGAAAAGTTTGTAAATTTAACATAAATATTAATGAACCAAAATATTTACAAGTATCATCATTCTATTTGCCTTTTTGCCTCTTTAATAGATGTTCCCTCATTTTGTTAATAAAAGCCACACCCAAACTTACTCTTAAATACTCATTCCTCACCTCATCTTTTTTAGTTACTCCACTCACCCAATGAAGCATGCTCATTTCAGCCATGTAATTTGTTTATTCCTATTTACTGTACAACATTCAGTACCATATATAATCACTGGTCTCAAGACAGTATTATAGAGCCTGTCCTTTAGTTTTACTGGTACCTTCTTATCCTTATCACAACACTTCAGTCGCCTCCTTCCAAGATTTTCTGCAGCATTTAACAGTAGATTGAATACCAAGCATGATAGTGCATCTCCCAAAGCAGTCCTCGATTAGTTTTAAATGACTCTGAGACTTCTCCTTGTATCCACCTTTACATTTAACAATATATTTAATAATAAATAGGTCCTGTTGAGTTTACCTATTAGCTTTATTAGTATTTTTCCATCACGCCGAACTCCACTCATTTCGTTAATACTGTTTTAATTCTATTACTTACATTTACATCCTAATAACTCTGTAATACTGAGTCTAACTACCTAAAACTACCACTCTCTTTTATGTTTTATAACACTAGATTGAATGGCATCAAATATAAAATAGGGGTCTGTCATATTTTTCAATTAACAAGTAAAAATATTTATAAGGTAGTAATTGGGCCAAGAGTAACTAATTTTCCAGCAGATCTATACCTTCGTACTCCGTGCTGTTGCATGGCACATAATGATAGTGAATAATAGGAAACTAGGCTTATGAGGCTATCTAAATTTTGACAACTCATTAAATATTGCAACCTTTAGGTAAAAAGTAGGTACATATAATACAATACATTAAATTAAAAGTTAATATGCTACTGATATGATTTGTGGCTAATGAACATAGTTTTGAAGCCAAATCTCTCTGCATACTGTCACACACACAATTAACAAAATCTTAATTATATTAACTTCATTAATTTGACATCTAGTATTTATGCATGACAATATATACTAAACCATACAATAAAAGACTAATTATAACATGGACATTCTAAGTTGATTAAGAGAGTATTTAAGACATGGAAAATGCAAGAATATCATTGGCAGTGCTACATATACAACCATTCTTAGATTTTCAAGGTGGTCTTGGTAGAGTAAGTACTCTTTATTGAGTCCCAACAAGCTGCACATATAAACCAAATTTTATTTATTTTTTATTATTATTTATATTACCTACAGATGCAAACAAGTTAACTGTACATAGACCTGGGCAAAATGAATTAAATTCCCTAAGAAGGAGAAAGTTGTCAAGAAATGTATGGGATATAGTTTAATAATATACACACATCAATAATAATTAATAAAAATCAATAATATACACATGGAATCACCCAGTATTTCTGATTTTGTAAAGTATTACTAAATTTTTTTTAATGAAAAATGAACTACATTTTATACTAAACCAGCTAAATTACTATAAAAAAATGTTACAAATGCATTAAATTAACAAAAACAGGAACAAATGAAAACATTGCAATGGTTGACTAAAAAAAGATACGTCTTGTTGTTCATTTTAATAGTCAGTGTTACCACCTCTAGCTCTAATACAAGCTTCAATCTGACGGGGAATGCTTCTAATCAAAGCATCAACTTGTTCTTGAGGTAAGTTTGCCCATTCTTTGTGTTTCATCTTCAGTTTTCAGAAAGTCTGTGGATCAAAGTCTATTATTACCATTATTGCTTCATTATGGTTATCTGGCCACATTATATATTGAGGCATTAATAATAAGATTGCTGACACAATTTCTTTTAAAATACACTATGGGCTGTACTCTTGGCTATATTGAACCTGTCGCCACAGGCTACAAACGATTCTGGTTTAGCTAAAACCCAGGTGGTGAACAGCACTTTTTTATCTAAAGGAATTGTAGCTCCAATGGGTATAACTCCTAAATTTCCTAGTTGCTGGGTAATTACCTAAAACATTTATATGTAGTTTTCAAAGAACTAATAATCTTTACTAAAACTTACTTCAGCACATTCCCTACTCATGCGAAAATGCTTTACAAAAAGATCTCCCATATATTGGGGAATGGTTTCCTCATAAAAATTTTGATTACCAGGCACTTGGGCTCTCTCAGCATTATTCAGCTCTAATTCTTCAGTGTGTGCCAACTGATCCACAACATTTCCAATTAGCTGGATATTATTTTCCTTGTCCGCTAGTAATGTGACGTAAAGTGTAATAATATTTAAAAGTCAAGCTAAATTTTCAATCTAAAACATAAACAAAATATTTAATTTTAAAATGACAAATTATTTGACATTGACAGATAAGGTAGCGGTAGCGGAATCCAGCAGGTTTTGACTTATGACATTTGGTCCAGCGCTTTACGATGGATTCGGAAGTAGCGGAGCGGTAGCTGCTCCGTCTGCTGAACGCGCCCAATGACGTATATAGACTACGCAGTCCCCTATTCTCGCTATTGGCGATGTCAAACGAAAGAGGCGGCACGGTGCGGTAAAATTTTGAACTGGTGCACGTAGGATAACAAAACATTTTGTATTTAGTTCTACACACATAACATAGTTATAAACAGTTTAAATATTATTAAATAAAGCACAATAAGGTAACAAAATGTTAAAAAGTAAATGTAAACCGTATTGCTTTGCACCGCAATGCAGTAATTATCGATCGGAAGGAATAACTATGCACTTTTTTCCTCGTGACAAAAATCTATAAGATCGTTGTGCACAGGGATTAAAAATTGGGAAATCGATATCAAGTGATATGATGGTGTGTTCACAGCATTTTTTATCAACAGATTTTTTTTCAATTAAATTTTCTGAACAGAATTGCAACATTTATTATATATAATGTGCCTACCTACCCTAACCAAATATATACACTAAAATAGATCTTAATTCAAATTTTTCTGCAGCAGGGCAAAATGAATTTCAAAGAAAGGTGTTGTTCCCTCTCAATGCCTTCTTAAAGGAAAACACGAAAGAAAAATCAATGAGGAACTGGTGAATGCTAGACTAATGCGTAATAAAACACGCACATTCTTCACTGGCGGGCTTTACAAGTCCATTTTGCCACCCAGACTCGTCTCTTAACACATCCACAGTGATTTCATGTGGGGCACAATTTAAATTAGTCGTTTGCACACACAAACTTACTAATTTGTTATTATATTTGCCACACAACACAACGTGGCCAGCCTTTAACAAGGCCTCGCTTTCTTTTAAAGGTCTTTTTGTGTCTCCTATATATTTCAAAATATGGAGCAGACTAACTTCAATTTCTTTATTTGCCATTGCGTTAATAAAAAAATAAATGGAAGGTAATAAATACGGATAATTTTTAGACACAGCAATCATTCACCTACAAAGATTATGGTAGCTCCGTTTTGTTTTCCTACGTGCGTGATCAGCTGATCATCTGTCAAAGCGCCCCCTATAGTTCGTTGACATCGCCAATAGAATCGAGTGTCCGAAAGATCTCGGCTCAAGGTTGAAGGTATGTTTATCAGAACAGCGACGTGCTCATTTATATTTTAATGACAATAATTATTTTTTTAATTAAAATTAAATATTTATGATTTCTATTTGTTCCCGTCTATAAGAGAAATAATTATTTTGATAAAATAGTATGGCATTTTACTAAAATAGTAAGTAAATGACTTCAACAATTTAAAATAAAATTTGCTTGTCACACACAATGGAGAAAATGTTTTCATACGTCCATGATGTTTTCAAACACAAGATCAACTTCGTGATGCTTCGTAAGAAATCATGAACTTCGTGCATCTTCGTATCAAAACAATAAACAATAACAAAGGTATTCATGTTTTGGACACTTTTTAAAGCGTTCACCGAGTCTATATATTATACGTCATTGATTTTCTATGTACACCACATAAACAACACTGGTTCCCTCTAAAACATGGCGGAACGTCTGCGCGAATGTGATGCGCGTACTTAAGTTTCCATGGAGAGTGGGCATTCTGATTGTTTATTATTCTGTGGTCATTATAGACTGATTATAGAAAAGATGTGGCACATCATGTCACATGTCCTAAAACGTCAAGAAGTGTCAAAAATACAAATATGATACGTCAAAGTCAAAATTAATTAAATGGTTCGCCAAAAGCTGATGGTGGAGACGTGTATATTTTGAAATGTTAACATATTTTCAAGATAAGAAAGATGGCACTTCCAGGGAACGGGATTTTTGTCGTCAAAGGAGAAATCTCCAACATGATGGCGGCTATGAAACGGGGTACAAGGTGGTCGTCTCACTCTTATCAGGACGATGATGTAGATTCCTTACTAAGAAACTTTCAAGAACTAAGAGATATTTTAGACAATGTAGACGACTTAAGATTCGTAGAACCTAACACATTCTTAGCCCCCTTTTTAAATGTCATAAGGTCCGAAGAAACTACTGGGCCCGTGACTAGTCTCGCCCTATCAGCTGTTAATAAGTTCTTATCCTATGGATTATTGGGTAAGTAGTTTAAAAAAAATTTACATGATTTTTTTTATATATTGTTTAAATTTCTTTTGAATGACAAGATACTTAACATTATTGTTTATTGATTCATATTAATAATTATTTTAATTCATTGCCTTGACAGTATAATTTTAAAATAAATAAGTTTTAAATAATATTTATCTATTTATGGATATACTATTCTATCTATCATTGACAAAATTAATTAACATAAATTTAGACAACTAATTTGTGTAATACTCTACTGTACATACACTCTTGGTTCACACTTATTTTAGTAAATTTGGGATTTCTTTTAAGTAATAAACTATTCAGGTATGTTATTACAATGGGGAAATCCATGAGAAAATAAATATTACTAATAGGCATATCTACCATTCATGCTTAGTATTTATTCTATGTTCTTATCTTTATCTTCTTATCTTTTTAATACTAACTTAAAGAGAGAAGCAGGAGTAAATTAATTTTAACATTTAAAATCAGATTAGCTTAGTATAAAAAACTCCCTTCAGCTCAAAGGTATGTTTTTCCAAAAGTATTTGGAAGTTTTGCTACCATAAAAATTATTTGAGGGTTGAATATTTGGGAAAATATGTACACACTTATATTTATAAATGATTCCAATCAAAAGACAACTGTAGTGTTTATTATCTATAGAAAATTTGTCTCTAAATTACTGCAACTTTTAAAATTACGATATTGTTATTTAAAATTAATTTCAAATATCTTTATTAAATAATCATATACCTTTATAATTTGTTTCCAATTTTAAAATTTTGAAATTAAAAAATATATTCAATTTATTTTTAAATCCTTTAGATCCACAAAGTTCTGTTGGTGAATAACCATATAATTCTGATAAATGCCATCTGGTGTATTTATTTCAATCATAATTAAGATTAACCAGATACAAATTTTCCTTAATGGTTTTACTTACTGTTTAAATACTATATGGTTGGTATAGAGCCATCAAAAAATCATAATTAAAGGAAGCTGTAAAATTACTTAGAAATAAGGGATGTTGGTTGTTTAGTTACCACCAATTTTTGATGACTATCTCTCCCATGGGTCTCTAGTACAAGTTGAGCCTTGGTTTGCCCCAGCATCTTTTTCCTTGGCTGCTCCCCTCCAATATCCACCTTCAATATTGTTGGGCTAGTACTTATTTGTTCCATATGCCAAATTCTCATTTTGGGATATTCACATTTAAATATGTTGTTAATATTTAATCATTTATTTTAGAAGTCATAAAAATGATGTTAATTCTAAAAAAATATTTAAAATGGTGTTCTGGATTGACTTCAAATTTTTACTAACTCTTTTTATATTTGAAAAAAAAAAAAAGAAAAAATAAATAAAAATGAAGTACAAAACTGAATTATTTTATAACATTTTAAGTAAAATATTTTAGTTTGCGTTTCTATATATCTTATGTATCATTCTACAGTTAGATGACAGTTTATTACATTATTTCTAATCTTATATTACTGCACCTTTAAAAAAAATACAAGGGTACATCAAAAAGAAAACTAAAACTGCTTTTTGTTTTCAAAATTTATTAAGAATTAAAACATGTTTATGTAAAACAAAAAGTTTTATATTCTTCGTGGTAGGTACACGTCATGTAACTGAAATAAATGAATAATTATTGTCATTAAAATAATGAACCTTATATTACTACATCTTTTTTTCATACAAGGGTACATCAAAAAGGAAACTCCTTTTTGCTTTTAAAATTTATTAATAATCAAAACATGTGTATGTGAAACAAACACTAAATAAAAGTTTAATATTCTTCACGGTAGGTACCTACTCATAACGTAATTGAAACAAATAATTGTAGGCGGAAGAAATAAAATTATTTATTTAGTGAAGAAAATATTGTTCTGTACAATATTTTGTCAACCTCAAGCATGTAGGCAAACATAGACTCAATATGCTTTATTTTTTTAGGTTTTTAGGACTGTAGGTTTTTCGGTAATACCCTTTACCCTGGAAAAGTTAATAATAATATTATTATGATCGTTTTTGCCCTGTTTTTTAGCAGATCCGTGTGTCTCATGTTTATTAAGTCTAATACGCCTAATACGCAAGGGGTCATCTTTTTTATAGTTAATATGTTTAACTTTAGTAAAAGGCAGATCTTTAAAATTTAGAGTTTGGCTTACTATTTGAAAATTAAAAAAAGCAGCCTTTTTTAGTGGCAGCACCTTGAGAGGTGCTTTACTGGGGGATATATTTACGAGATGTCTTAAGAGTGAAACAGTGCTGTATATTTTCCTATGTTTTAAATACTTTTCTAGTTTACTGTGAACAGAGTTAATTTCTTGAATTAAACTATGTCTAGGTTCTGAAAGTTTTTGTTCAATTGTATTAAATCGAGTATTGATATGTAAGAAATACTTTATAGCTAAGGCCATGTGTGAGTTGCGGTTTTGGGGGACACAAGAATCTGGCCATAATATAAACTTATTTACATTAGGATTTGTTTCTGAAGTTGTGTTTAATAGTTTTATAAGAGCACTGGCAATGTGATTACCATTACAGCCTGAAATGGCTTCTTGCCATAGAGCACAGAAGGTAATTTTATCTGTGGAGCAGTGAACAAATAAATTATATACTGAAAACTTTTTTTTATAAAAAAAATTTACACCTCAGCTTTTGATAGAGCAAAAACGTTTTGCACATCAAAGCATAAAACAGCAGTAGACTGATCAAATTTGTAGGCGTTTCTATCAAAGTCTCTTTCTATTTTTCCTTCGATTTTATTTTTTATGTAAAAATCATAATGTTTTTTATTTTCTTCAGTTTTAATTTCAATTAATTTGTATTTCTCGCAGGTATCACATCTATCCTTTTTTGGTTGAAGAAAATCAAAATTATATTCTCTTGTAAAAATTTCTCTATACTTACGTGATTTAACAGGAAACTTTTTACTAAAGTCACTTTCTAGGTATAGTCGATACATTTTTTTAATAGAGAGACACATATCTAAATACAATCCAACACGATCTAATCGACAGTAATGAGACTCTATATGGGGGAACAACTCAATATGTTTTCTTACTCCATCTAGAGCTTCTAATGGTAAGACTTTCTTTACGTATTTTCCTTTCAAAGGTGTCCAAGCAATCCCTGAGTTATCCTTATAGTGTTTTTTAAAGAAATAATAAATTCTCTGTTGACTAATGTTTAGAGTAGCTAAAACAAAGTTCCTACATAGTCTAATTTGCTTATTTAAAACCTCAAGGTAATATTGCAACGAATTTTGTTTCTGGCAGTCCGAAATATTTTCTGTTTTCTCCTACCTCCGTTTTTATGAACTTTTTTTTACAAATTTTGAATAAAATGTGCCTTTGTTATCACTTAGTTGCCAAAAGTTTTTAAATATAACCTGCCTTTCGTTCTTATTAATATTTTTAATACATTGATAGGTACAAGTTTTCAAACACATGGATTGACATTGCCTTGGAGCATGGACAACTCATTTTTCATCCTAATATTGAAGCCCATGTTCTTGCTGAAGTTTTTTTACATTTCTAGTCCAGTTGCCAGGATTTCTCAATTGCTTTCTTGTTTTTTTTTAGAAGTTTTCTTGCTGCTTGCTTGGACATCTTGATTTTCCATGTTATTTTTGGTTGAGCTTTCTTCTGTACATTTTTCGGCACATTCTGACACCATTTTTGTAGAACTCTCTGTATTTTGTCTGTTTCCATCAAAATAAGTTGAACTTGAATCACTATTATAGTCAAAATTTTTTCTAAGTGGTTCTACACTATCAGGATCATGAACATTCAGATATTGCAATATTGTTTCTTTTAGAAACAGTGGAAATTGTCTCAATCTTTTTATAGCATTAATTTGTTTACAATCCTTATCCACTCTATAACAAAAAATTACATGAGTGTTTACGCTCTCCTGACAGAAATATCGCCAAATTAGTGCTTATTTGTTCCACATGCCAAATTCTTATTCTAGATATTTCTAGATTTCTTCTAGAATTCTAGATTCTAGATTTTATCTAGAGATATTTTTAAATTTGGTAATATAGTAAAGAACACATCATTAAATAATATGTATACATTTTTCCACACATAAATAAATAATATATGCATTTACTTACCTGTTTTATACTTTTATTTATCACATCAAGTCGCCACCATACAAGAAGTAAGACATGTTAACCTCAACTCACTGCATAACACTGACATGGCACAAACAAGCACCAAATACGCGTGTGAAATACTGGCTTCCTATTGGCCTTTGCATATGGAGCACTGAAGAACCGAAATAACCCATAAAATAATCATATGGCACAAAGCTACAAAGGTATTACAGAAAAGTCTTGGCTGTTATAGTTATGAGGACCAAATTACATACATTATTATGTTGGCAATGTTTCATTACAGCTTTTAACCCGAAAAAGTAGAAAATGTGGTATGGAACAAATAAGCACTAACCCGACGATATGTCTTTAGCATTGGTTCTCACTTCATCTGTCCTTCTCTTCCTTGGACTTCCTAATGCTTGATGTTCCACATCCTAATAAAGTTCCACTAAGTGTTCCACTAGGTGTTTTGTTATTAACCATTCTTATAAAGTGACCTGTCCAGCACAATCTTTGTATTTTTGCATAATTTGCTATAGGGGCTTCTTTGTAATATTGATATAATTCATGGTTTAACTTTATTTTCCACATACCATTGTCACATATGGCTCACAATATTTTTCTGTCAAAAGTAATACGGTTTATTATTTTATTAATAATTTTTGCTATTCCATGATCTATGTTTCTATGCCATAGGTTGCTATTGGTCGTTTGATGAATTTTTGGTGACAATGTGAAATTAAATTTTTGATTCAACATTGTCAAAAGCTAGGTACACACACAAGAACAGTATGAATAATGTTTTGACTAAATACTGTGCAAATTAGATATAAATAAAAAAATTCTGTACAGTTTCCAGACATACTGGCAAAGAGAATGATTGTGT